ACAGACAGACAGACAGACAGACAGACAGACAGACAGACAGACAGACAGACAGACAAGAACAATAAATTCAAGGAAAAGAACAGAAGCAGTACTTATCATATCCAGTCAGAGACTTAAATCCCTGCTCTTCAAGATCTTCAAGATTGTACCTTATAAAAATGTGAGCATAAATTGACATAGAATTGTCTCTTATCTCAGCATGGCAATTGTGGAAGAGGCACTATAAAGGTGTATTATGATTCTAAGCTTAACATAGAAATTACAAGTGTATTTGGAAAAGTAAGATTATAGCCACCCATTTTAAAGGGTTTAGCTTAAAGCTCAAATTCTCGGATCATTTTGGGGTCACAGCTACGTTGGAAAGGATCAGGAAACAGTAGTGGGCTGTGATTGTGGTAAAACTGAATAACACAGAAAAATAATAGACGATGCTATAAAAAGCTAATGCGGGCAAAAAAGCACCGCTGGCGGTAGTAATTTTCCTCACATAGTCCTGTACAGTGTGTCATGTTTCTTAAGTGTGTAAACAAGACACGGTGTGAGGAATATTATTAAAGCTTCCTCTCTGATGCTTGCTTTTTTATACTTTAAAGCATCCCCTCTGGGTTTAGCCTGAAACTGGCTTTTTTTCCCTACAGAACCGTCACAGCAGTCACTGGGTCACAGCAAAGGACCAGCTCTGACTGAGTCACTGATTAAATACAAGAATATATATAAATAGAGGATGAATATGAAAGTGGAAAGGGGTAAGTGGTTTTACCTCAGTATAAAAGTACAATGAGCTGCTATTGTAAAAGTACACATAATATTGTATATAATATAATGAACCCTGCTTTGAAGAACAATGTCTGTGTCTGCATGATAGACAGGAGTTTGAAATTGCTGAAAGGTACCAAGCACAGACACAAACTACTGTGGGTCCCACCACCAGCAAGGGAAGCCCTCTCCACCCTTCATTTTTACATTCTTTCCACAGTTGAAGTTATGATTCTTACATAGGTTTCTCAGCAAGACAGCAAAAAGGTGGAGACACCCAATATATAAAAACACATTTCATTGATCTTACAATTAAAGTAAGTATGCAAACAGACCTCTGATTTACTTATTTACAGTATGATCTACAATATGTACAGTTGTCTTAAAGTGAAAGTCTTATCAGGTACATAAATATGTATTGCATGAATTATTAGCGGCAACTTGTTTGAACTGGTTGCTCTTCCTGGTATTCCTTTCACTGCAAAGACTTATATTACTGGTAAAGGAAAGAAATTGCAGAATTATTATAAAGGCTTAATTAAAGAAAGTATACTATAACACAGCAGATACCATTTTATATTTAATATAACAAAAGAGAAATATTTAAACAGTTACTGTAGTTGCCAACTCCGCAACACATGAAAAGAATCACTAGACATAGGAGGCAATTAATTGGATGGAGTCTACATGCAAAATTATTGCACTTATTGAATATACCATATACAATATGTAGTAAAACACCTCAAGCCAGACAAATGAAAAAAGATAAAAAGACAAAGCAAAAGTGTAAGACGTAAAAAAAAAAAGAAGAAAAGATAAGGCAGAATCAACAAATTACCGGTATCTGAAACAGGAAAGTGTAACTAATAGCAATGAAAAAGATCAGTTTTGTCAGTGGAAAAATTAACTCAAACATGCCCAGAAACTGACTGCACTAAAAAAGGTTAGCAGAGAAATAACTTGGCCTACTCCTTTGAGGGGAAGATAGAAAAAGGAGAGAGGAAGAGGGCGAAAGCCCCTACCGTACTGACAGAAACGAAGTAGACCTAAACTGATCATGAAAACTCATAGCCCATCTCGTTTAATTAATTTTCAATGGCAACATTCAAAGGCTCTCACTGCGCATTTATTTTACATCCTTTTAACCTATGCTTTTCTATAGGGGGACATATGGTGACACTTTGAACTTTGAATAGTAACAGTACAAATGGGAAAGCCACATTTCTGAAACTATCTGACAGTTTAAAAGAACAACAACACAATCCCCCCCCCCCCAATACAGAGTTTGCTAATGTATTGGTGTGCTCCGCTTTGAGCAGGAATGCAGTTCAATTCCATACAAATGTATATTTGCAGTGTACAGAAAATCATAGCAATAACAGTCATGTACAACAATAACATAAACATTCCGCTTAAACCAAGGTAAAATATATCTTTGAAGGTAAGGCAATTTAAAACATATTTAGCACTGTCAGTGTTATGATAATTCAGGGAAATAAATAAACAATCCCATTATATCATGTTCACAAGCAATACTTTCTGATTTCATATTCCATTCCCACATATTCAAATGACATGGTGTATCACTAACCAAAATAAAAAGATAAAATTTTAATTGATATTTCTCCTCATCTAGTTGCCTACATAAAAATGCACCCACACACTTCAAAATACACAAAAACTCATAAACAAATGTAAATGTGCTTGCACACCTACACAAGCAACTGAAACTAGTATAACATTCTGAGTGTGGCTGTGGGTGGTTCCAAAATGTGGGTGGAGCTAAAAATGAGGGTAAGCTGAGGGCAAAGGTAAGATTTACTTGGCTCAGAGGTTTTGTCTATGTGTGCGTGTAGTCGTAGAAAGCAAGACGTTCCTAATGAGGACCTAATGAGCCTGTTGGTTTCTGGATCTGTGAAGAAAGCGTGTCATAAAATTTTACCTCATTGTCAGGACTTGCAGAGCATGAGCTCTCTTTTCTACATACAGTTTTCACAAGTTCTTTTAAAAATCTTTTACCTTATTACAAGAAGCGTTTTATAAAGAACGGATTTTGGGAACAGACTCATCATTTGCTCTGAGCCTAAAGACATTTGATTGGCTGTTAAGTCACAATTGTTGTAAGCAGAGACAGCAGTGACTGGATAAACTAGTAAATGTGTGTGTTCACTGCATGCAACTGGGGGTGGAAGATTTTAAAGCAGTCGTATCAGTTTCAACTGTTTGTTTATTCTAAAAAAAACATTCATTCACATATGGAAAGAGTTTGGGGACGGGGGAAAGCCCTTCAGCCCTTCACTATGCCCCAACACTGAATATACCCACAAAGCAATACTATTTTTTTGCCACAAGCAACAACAGCTGTAGTGAAAAAGACGAGCAGGAGAAGCAAGTTAACTTCATGCGGTCTTTTCTAAATAGGCCTACCATCATACACTTATTTTAATCAAATTTGGCAGTGTGACATGTCCGTGTTAACACTTTAAAATAAAGGTAACGGTATCACAATCAATTGTTGAGCAAGTATAAAATAACAGAAAACATGCGCACAAACCGTACAAAATTTTTCACATTCAGATATAATATGTTGAGACAAAGAGTCTACATAACAAGAGGGACCACTTCTCTCTTTGAGCCTATTAAAAAAGTGTCCTCAAAATTCGGTGGCGCCCTCTTCGCAAATGCGCACCCTTCGTGAACACAGTTGCCCTATTTGTGTTAAAAAAATCAAAGTGAAACTAACAAGTTTTTGAATAAATAAGAATTCAAATTTCGGAAAAACACTTTTAAAAAATGGTTACGCTGAAAAAAAACACCTCTTCCGGAGGAAGGGGTGACTGTTTTTTTCGTTTAAATTTACTTTAGAATGAAAGGCGAGAGGTCATTAAAATTAAAACACCTAAAACTCCGCACTGAACGAACCAGAACTGCTGATGAACAGCAGTCGATCTGTGCATGCAAGGAGGTGCTATTCCTATTTTTCTTCTGGAAAAACGAAAGAGAGCTTCAAAACAGACTGCAGCGTCATCTGAAGCAAAGAGCGGACTTCCGGCGGACACTTTTTTGGCTGAGTGGACCATCTTGTTATGAACTATCTTTGGTTGAGATCAGAAATCAATGTCCACTGACACCGTATCCCCAATGAGAAAAATCTGAAAATGGCGTGAAAGAATTAAATGACAAATCTGCTGGTAGATTTGCAAACAAACATACATAAAAACATGCGCACACTCATTTATACATAATGGGAACATAGACATTCAACTTGCACCGTGTTGCCAATTAAATGAAGCACAACAGCCCCTTTATCATTCCTTAGAAGTTTCCCCAGCCTAGGAGGCTCTCTTCCCTTCAAATTTTTATCATTTGCATACCCATCACGTAAACATAAGTATATCTGTCCTGGATGCTGAAAGCTCACGCCTGTACATGCCAGAAGGTACAAACACCCTTCAGGATCAGTACCAGGTCAAGACAAGATACAGACAAATGACCAAAAAATATGCACTAAACTGGAGTAGAACCTATATTTAAAAAGATTGCTTACTTAATTTCTCACTCCTGGAGTTGGAACAATCTGCCATTTAGAGGTTTCAGCAAATATGTTGCTGATGTTTCCCCTGGACTTTTTGATGTTTTTCCTCCCAGCAGATGACGCGGCTCGAGGTGGGGGTTTGGGATCAGATGGAAGTTTGTTCCCCTCGTGCATGAGTTTAGACATGCGGCCCCCTTTGTCCAGGTTCGCTATTTCATGGCCATTCTTTACTTTGGGAGCGGGCCTGGCAGATTGCGGCTGGTTGCCATACTTGTGAAACAGTCCGTCCATCTGGACGCCTTGATCAAGCTTCGCAGTGTTTTCAGCTTCAGGTTTCACACGAGGAACAGCTCGTGTAGATCGAGGAGTTTCGCCATAACGTCCCATGATTTTTGACATACTTGCACCTTTCCCATACTCAGCTGTTACCTCAGCCTCACGTTTGACTCTGGGAGCATTCCTCGGGGTCTCATGCATCTCCGATGGATTGTGCATAAGAGAGTTCATTCTCCCTCCCTTGCTCATGTCTGCCGTTTCCTCCGCCTCTGGCTTCACTCTAGCGAGAGGGCGAGGAGAGGGTCGGTTATGTCCATAATTGGTCAACAGTTTATTCATAGGGCCACCTTTATGAGCCTCTGCAATATCCTCACTTTGCACAGTCACTCTCGGAGCAGGTGAAACAGCAACAGGGGGGGCTGGTCCTTTACCCCCTAATAAATTCCCAACATGGCCAGTACGAGAAACCTCATAATTTTGCCGGGCTTCTCCAGTTGGACAACGGGGAGAATGCGGAGGAGGAATGACGTGTGTGTGCTTTTCAGAATTAAACAAATCGATACTTCCTTTGTTTCTGGATGCGATCTCCTCTGCTTCAGGCCGGACTCTTGGGGCAGGCCGAGGTTCATAGTAGTGGCCTGTCTCATCAAACCCAGGATATGGATTTCCAGTTTGTTTTTGCATTTTCTTTTCTTTCCTTACGATATCTGAAAATATAAGAAAAAAATCATAAACATCTAGAAGGTGAAGGCCTGTATCAACATTGTCAGGTAAAAGCTGGCCATGTACGAGATTTTCACTTTTCTCTATTTCGTACCTACGTCTCTTTTCTTGAATCATCCTCCATAAGGCATGAAATCTAGCAACATAAACACTTCATGCCCTGGTGACAAAGTGATCATTTTCACTTTATTTATGCAATTCTTCGCACATTCTGAAAAATGAACTTACATGCACTTGGCTGTTCTGCATGCAAAGCCATCGTCGTTCAGATTTTCATTTAAAAAACTACAACAACTAACCACATTATAATTTTCTGTTAGTTTGTATTGACTTATCATAGAGTTACAAAAATAAAAGAAGTTATAGCTTTAAACAATCATCCATCTGTAAATTATACAATGGCTCTCAACTAGCTTTGTATCATACTAAATAGGGTGGATCATGTGGAATTTTGTCCATTGTTTTAGCTTCAGCGATACAAGAATGAGTCTTGGCTTCTCATTATTTCTCAACTTACTTGCTCTATTTCTATTCTTCATGTTTTAATAAGGGCAGTAAGTTTTGAAGAGAAAGTTGAAAACAAACTCAAGCATGGATGCCTGTGACCATCTTTATTCAGATAATTTTCAGATTTTCGATATAAACGTAGGCCTACTGCTCTGCGATCTGATATAGATGAGTTAGTATAATTGAAGCATAACATATATCGATTCAGATAGGCCAGCTTTTTCATGAAAAAGAGCATGTGACAATAATAGGCTAAAGAAGGCTAGATTAGTAAAATAAATGTTTCAGATAATACTGAGGGAAAAAATTAAGTACACCAGAAACATCAAATTCTCCACTTTTGATCAACAGAGCATCTGTTTGTCCTTCTGCTGTACATCTTCATACATCAGTCAATGTAGGCTACTACAATGATGAGGATGAAAATTCTATGAATATAATGAAGATATGTGCTTGTCATACGTACATCAGCATACTAAAGCCTTTTCAAGGATTACCTTACAAAATCAACTTCATTAACTAAAAAAGGAGACATTTCATTCTCCCAACTGTACAAAATATAATATGGCGCTTTTTTGGGGGGGGGGGGGGGGGACAAGTGGGTTTTGTTAAGCAACATTTGATATTTTATGTTACTAGCTTTTTATTTTCAAAACGTCGGTTGGCTTTTCTGGAAAAAAAAAAATGTACGGCTTAACAATACGACAATTGATATTGAGAGGATCATATGTAGTCTCATATGGCCAGCAGGCTTGAGTAGGCTAGAGAGAGAGCTAATGACTATGAAAAATTAAGTCAGAAAATGGAGAACCGATCTGGAAGGACATGCACGAGCGAGACGTAAATTGAAATATTTCCACTTTTTAACGTTTTATTCACAGGGAGCCCGAGGCAGGGGTAGGCCATGAGAAACATGGAGGAGATGTGTGGAAAGGGACATAGAGAGATGAAGCTCACTTGGAACGAGCCTGGAAGGATGGCCCAGGACAGAGATAAGTGGAAGAAGCTTGTATGTGGCCTATACCCTGCTAGGGGGGAAAGGTATTGATGATAATAACGTTTTATTCAAATTTAGATAATTCAGGAATGATTTGGATTTTACTACCACATAGGGGGCAGAGAGAGGAGGCTTTTATGACACTTTTCACATTTGGCGCCACTGCTCCGTTCAGGAACAATTCAAGCCAAAGAAAAAGGTTTCACCATTATCATAAGCCATTCGGCATCATAACTAGTGACATCAGCTTCATACATAATCATGTTTTACCGCCAGAATATAAGATCTGTGGTACCCTACCATGTCAGAAACCTCCCCACTCCGCAGGAGACATTTTGTGTAAACATGAGGGATACTTCGGATGAAGAGGAATGATTTTGGACAGTGTGTCTAATGTATCAAATATTATTTTTCAGAGGCAACACTCTGGCACAGCATACATCCATACTGTTACCTTTCGTTTGAAGTGTGAAAGTGTAATGCGAGGCATCGCGGTGAAATCAGGTGCTCGTCAAAATATTGAAATCGAAGAAAAAGGTATTTTTTCTAAAGTTTGGCAATTTTTACCAAAATTTTGTTTCTAGGCTCAATACTTTCAATGTCCATATAAAAGCCCATTTGCCTGTGAATTTCACTGAGAGACGTTGATTAAAGGAACAAAATATGTAAATTTTAGTTTTTAAGGACTCTCAAGCTATAGAATTAAGTTACCAAACTTTGGCCGCCATTTTTTCCCTAATTTAACCCCTGAGACCAGGATATTCCCATAATCTTCAATCGCAAATATACTGACTTCTATTCCAGATAGAAGGGTATTTTTTTCACAGATAGCAAGGCAAATGGAAAAGTTTTCAGATAATACTAATATCTCCACGTTCCAGCAAATTGACGAGTGCCTGATTCCACCGTGTTGTGACACATTTCACACTCACTGGATATAGTAGAAAACAGTGATCTAACCATATCTCTACCAGTCTGCATATGTGTATGTGTTGATTTGAAATCTCCCTTTTCCATTGTGAAGCAGAGCTTAGTGGTGCCCCTAATAAACAAGCTAGCTTTTGCAGCAATAAAAAGAGCTGAAAAATACTTTTTCCTATTCGTTTCAGAGTCTGTCAACATCTGGATTTGGAGAGAGCGCAGCATTCAGGATGGTGCTCCATTTGCTATGTTATTATCCCTATTTTTTTCTGAGCGATGAACTCTGGTTCGAATCAAGGCATATTTGTTCTTGAACATGGAATGTTTGAGGGGCATTCATATGGCTCCTCATTACATCAGGATGGAGAGGGACAATAAATCAGAGATTCACTACCTCAAATGACATGAAGTTATAGTTTTCTGATGTTCTGGGGGGTGGGAGTTATGCCACAACCAAATGAAAACATCTAAATGAAACATAGGCTTCAGATTAAAAACAGTTACTAAGAATTTTCTTTTTAAAAAGAGCTTTTGATCTTCTGAGGATGAAATTCAAAATGCTTTAGGGAATTCAATGCAAGGGTTTCCATTTTAACTGCAAACCTATATAGGCATAAGAGCGGTTTGACTTCTTTGATATAAGCCTCGAATCAAAGGTGGGAGAATTGTTCTCATTTTACAACGCCCAAATCTTCCAAAGGTGGATGGATGAAAGCACTTACAGTCATATCCGATTTTCCTTGGTAAGACATAATTCAGAGTCACTCTCTTCGTCTCTCTCTGACACCATTTTCCCAACGAGGTGGACACACTTCCCTATAATCCCAAGCTCGATGACAACAAAGTCAGGTTTCTTAGGTTCCACAGGAACAGCACCATTTTCACAATAGAATCCAGAAAGCCAGTCTTTTCGGGTAGATTTTGTTCATATGCCATGTTCTTGGCATGATCAGATTGTTGTGTAGGAAACATGTTCATGAAACAGACATGAAAGCTAGGTTTAATTTTATGAATTTGGTACATAATAGACACCCTAAAGCACAGTCAAATAGTTTTCGAAAAAAGATAGGTGCACCATTTACGACATGTTATAATTGCAAACTAAAGGGAATACACCATAAAAAAAAGAATATTTCTTTCACAGCTGACGCAAGGTTTCGGACAGTGAGGCAGCAAAAACACAGCAGTATAAGCCTCACACGACATATCATGTGATCATGTAACAATTTAAATGTTTAAACTTTCTACTAACATTGATCAATAGTTTAGTGAGAATAGCGATGTTTCCGAAGTCTCGTCCATGGCCCACTCTAAAACCGCATTTATTTTGTGTAGTGATTCTGCGCACACAATTCCTCTGCGGAGGGGAACTTAACAACCTTGGGTATAAAAATCTGGGGGTGGGAGTTTGACATGCCCCCTAGAATTTCTCCATAATTTGACTTCCAACCACGGCAAACATTTATGCATAGAGACTTATAGATTAAGGGGAGACCCGAGTTGGTGATAAAAGTTTTTAAAATATCGCTTTTTAAAAAAACCGAAAAAACATCCTTTAACATCTGTTCTATCGGGTCACAATGACAAAACTGTTGAAAAAACATCCTAAATTACCTAAAAGGCTGTTTGAAAAGTGCACATTGAACTGAAAATCTTTAATAAAATTCCTGTTCTTCTGTTTTTCTCAAAATCTGCTTTTTGACATAAGTACCTCCTTGGAAGGAGTTTTCAAAAACTACGGAAGCTAGAAGTTTCGAATCTGGCATACAGTTAAGTGCTGTAAGATCAATTCTGGGGATCTATGTAAGGAAATTGGGAATATTCCGTAACTAACACCCCAAAATTTCGTCAACTGACTCTCGGGGGTCCATTGACTTTGGGCACACTTTTCTATTTTTAAAGATAGATCAAAATCCTTACACAGATCCACAGTCCATATAGGTTTGCACTTGTGTGCCAAATTTCAGGCTGCAGTTTCAACATTTTTCTTTGAAATCTTTACTGCACTAAGAAACTGGTTTGAAATTCCAAGATGCACGTCACATGCAGAGACCTATTTTTCAGAAAAAAATTAACAAATTCACCCTTACTAGATTACATTCTACTTACCTATAAACTTCTTGTACAATTATAAGAAAGTGAATTAAAGTCCTTTGTTTAGAAAATTTTTCCGGGACTGTACGTGATCTCCCCTTAAAATTGTTTAATTGACGCTTTGCAATTTTCTTAAGATGTTTTATATGCACAAATCAACGTCTATCCGGAAAGGAAGTGATTATTCACACCGGGTGTGCCCATAAGATTTCATTTTATTAACACCGGTGGCCTAGTGGTTAGGCTCTCGGACTCGCAACCGTAAGGTCGTGGGTTCGAATCCCGTCAAGGGCCCAACGTTGTGTCCTTGGGAAAGGCACTTTACACGAATTTTCCTCACTTCACCCAGGTGGGAATAGGTACCCGGCTATAGACAGCGAAAGATCTTGTCAGTTTGTTAGTGTTTGAGCGCTTAATCGGCTGCTCGCACTGTATGCTTCCTGGGAAGCTGAGAATGTTTCGGAGTGTTCTATGGTCTGCTGGGGTAATAATATAGTGTAAAGCGCATAGAGCCTGCTGTTGAGCGGGGATATGCGCTATACAAATGCTATCTATTATTATTATTATTATTATTAATTAATATAATTCACACCGGGTATGCGAATAAGAACTAATTTTATTTGCACACGGTCGAGCCTACGTTGATTTTAGACCTCGTTTGTAGGCCAGGGCAAGATCGACTCTGGGATCCATTCTTTTGAGTCCAAATGAGGACTCAAAGAATCGATCTTGTTCACAGACTCTAAGCTTCGAGTCCGCCCAGGGTCGATGCCTCCCGTCTCCTTTTTTTTAGCTTGGTTCCTAGCCTAGACTACGAGAATCGAGGCAAGAATCTAAATCTCTACCGCACTATTACAGTCCTGTCGTGGGATAGGCCTTTTTTTCGCTTCAAAACAGACACCGCACCAGGACAGGACTGATCCGACGCATAAGGCGGCTTCTTTGAAGTTGGCATAGGCGGAGTTAAAAATGCATTTCAAAAATTTCTTAAATATTGGCCAAATTTAAGAAATAATAAGATTTTCGCGATCAGCAACCCAAAATTAGCAAAAATTACGCGGGGAACCCAATTTAATGCCCGATTACCAAGTCAAATTAATTTTTGTGAGTTTTGTTATACTTATGGGTTTTTTTCACTATTTGAATTTGGCGTGCACTAGGCCTAATTGATACATGTAGATTCAAGACTGTGTCTTCAAGGTGGATGAATTGAGGTTGCATGTACCTGTGCTCTGTTGCTTCGTATTAGAAAAAAGAGAAAGAGAAAACAGTACAGTAGTCTCCGCCTAAGATCCCACCGCTTACGATCCCGGTTCGCTTAAGATACCGCTGTTTTAAGAAAACAGAATTTTTACTATACAAAGTCACCCCTAAGATCCCACTCTGATTCACTCTGAAGGTCTACATTTGGCTAAGATCCCGCATTTCAGATCATAATTTGCGGAACAAAACCGCGGGCGGGACAGCCGATCAACCAAGAGTGAAAAGTTGAGATAAAAAAACTGTCCGTCGCGTCAAAGATCAGCCACTATCGTGAATGTGATCACACACACATTATAAAACTCAATGAAGAGATACAATGTTTGCCCCAGACCAGATCACACCAGGGTGTGAACTGACCGACACGTTCATCGCACTCACACTTGAGCTCTCCCCCTAAACTTACATCACTCACTGGGTGGGCAGGGCCTACACGTTCCCTCCAGGCGGGATCACATTGAACTGTGAACTCTTCCTTGACCATTGTAGAAGTTGTCACTACTCCTGAATTTGCGAGACTGACTGAATTTTAATTGGTGTGTTCACAACGTTATGGTGTGTAACGACAAAGGCAGTTGGGGGAGGGGGGGGAGGGGGGCCGGAAACTCGGTTAGAGATGGAAAGCTATAAATTTTTGACAGGTAAGGGGGAGGGGCAGCTGGATACGCGTAGATCTTGAGACTCATGATAGGATAAAAAGTGAAAATGGCACGCCTCATCCCACTATGCACTGTGATAGGTCATCAAGGTTCACTCTTTGCTCGCTATACATCATAAACCCACCAAGCGTCCATGTCAGTTCATTTTAGAGTGGATGGAGACCATTTTACCTATGTGAGCCTTAGCATGGGTCACCATAGATTCTTCCCTGGGTTCATCGGTTAAGATCCCGGTTCGCCTAAGATCCCGCATTTCCTTGTTTCCGAGCACCGGGATCTTAGGCGGAGACTACTGTATTGGGTCATACTGTCCCACCCATGTTGTAGCAATTCACAACTGCTCGGGACTCAATGCAACAAAAATGTCACGTCCCAAAAATAGGTGCGGTACATTACACTCAAGTTCAAAGGTTTCAAACGTCAGCCGGGTCTGTCCCGGGACGAACTTTCGTAGGCCAAGTGAGGTAGGGGCAAGAAACTGCCAGTCAGTCACTATCAATAGTCTCACGCAACCCCCCATCCCACCCCACCTTCCTCTTCCTCTTCCCCGCTATGACATGAGTGAATGCTAAACTAGGCCTAGGCCTACTTGTCGTGTCTACCATGTAGCCCAGTACGAAAACACGCTGCACATAGGCTACTGCTACTTTGAATGTTGTTGCCCCACCTCCGCCCGTCCCAAATTAAATCATTCACTTCCCTTTTCTCTTTCTTTTGTCTTGAACATTGAACGCTTGCTCTTGAATTTCACTCATATTCTTTAGTAAATCATATTGTGTATTAGTATTAGGGTCAATATATCAATATATGATTGCAGCTAGATTTCTAGATCTAGATCTAGATCTAGATCTAGATTTAGCAAATGAAAAGGACATGAATAATTTTTGGGAAGCAAAGCAGCATATGAAAAAAACATTTAAAATTTTCATGAGAGCACTACCTGCAGTGAAAGATACGTCCCAAGCACGTCGTTGTTTTCAGTAAGTTATCGGAAATTAGACGTGTTCGCTGATCATTTCAGCGTAACCACGGTAAACATTCCTCTATCCGGTAGCCTCGTTTCGACAAAGTTTCCGGCGCGTTGATTTATTAAAAACAGAGAGAGGAGTTTTCCTTGTGGACGAAACGTTTTCTATCCTTGGCTCTTAGTGACAGATGTGTACGTTGTACTTCTACTACTTTCGAGACTAACGCCGGTGAACTGTAAGTATGTTGTCACTTTTTGTTTGAGATTCTAGATCTAGATCTATATCAACCCTTCCAAATACATGCCTTACTAGGCTATAGAACATTAATGTGGATATGGGTCCTCACAAACTTTGATGGCTCGTTGAATGTCGAGAAGAGAATCGGTCTCAACTTGAAGTTCGTCTCTCTGCTCTCTTCCTCGAATGAATGATTTAAAGCCCATTTTGTTTGAATGAATGGGGCTGACCACCTGTAGCAGGGAAATGTTGAGGGTTGTACTTGGAGAGGATTCAATTACGTAACCTGTGTCGAAACCTTTTTGAACAGTATTAAGTTTTATGCAAAATCGTTGATAGCACAGAAGAATGTTCTGATGATTTTGCATTTGACTGAGGCTGAGGCCGGCGAGATAGGGTTTTAAAGGAAGAGGCTAGATCTAGATCTAGAATCTAATCTCTAGATCTAATCTAGATATCTAGCCGTACTTAAAAATGACTTTCTTGAGAAAGGGTTTTAATACTAGATCTAGAATCTAGATTTATCTAGATCTATATCTAGATCTAGATCTAATTGGAACAATCTTTCCGAATCAGTGGTGTCAGCTCCAAACGTGGACACATTTAAGAGACGTGTGGACGAATACTGGAATCTGGAAAGATCTCCCAACTATTTAAACCCCACCTTCCAAAACTGATTTGTCTAGATCTAGCCTACACGCCATGCATTATTCATTATTGTTGTTCATTACCAGATAGTTGAACAGGCTCTACTTAGAGCCTCGAACAACTAAATCGTCAATGTCAATGTAATATGATGGCGAGACTGAAAAAAATAGGCCTACTGAATTGTAAATAGATCTAGATCTAGATCTAGATCTAGATCTATATACATTTGTAGTTTGCAGTACCTAAATGTCCTCCTAAAGTATTTGTATTTGAGACTAAACCAGGTGCCTTAATGACAGTGCATGTATTTTAAACCTCCTGTTTTCTAAATATGTTAATAGGGCCTAAGATTTATATAAGTACGGCTAGACTGGCAGTGTAGCCGTACTTAAGTACAGCTAGACTTTTTGGCTAGCCGAACTTAAGACTTCTAAGTACGGGTAGACAACCAGGCTAGCCGTACTTAAGGACGGCTAGACTGTCA